TTATTCAAAACGTTTTATCTCTTAAATCATGCAGTTGGATTCCTCGCGTCGAGAACTTCAAAACTAGATCTCATGTTGATAAGTTTTTCTGAACTTCTTTTCACGAAAAAACTGAACCGGGAGCACTTTCTTCCTCTTTCCGGAAGCCGTTTCTGAGAGGCACGGTCGTGCCTCTCACGAAAACAAAAACACTTTTTTTTTCGTTTCCGAGAGGGCACGGTCATGCCTCCCACAGAAGCAAAACCGTGCCTCTCGCAAAAGTAAAATGTGCCTCTCACGAAACGAAAAAAAAGGTAAAAATACATATATTTTTTTTCGTTCCCACGCACGGTCATGCCTCTCGCGAAAGCAAAACCATGCATCTTGTGGAAGTAAAACGATACCTCTTAAGGAAGCAAAAAATCACGATTTTCGTGTTTTTTTTAAAAAGCTAAGAAAGACCAATGGAAAACCGAGAAGTTGAAAAAACCCGGGGAAAAACCATCTAAAAGCGGAAAACGCGTGCAGAAAGATAAAAAAACAAAAACAAAAGGGAGCGTTCAGGGCGCGACATGTGGTGGCGGCTGAGAGTGCGGCAAATGGCGCGCTCAGCCCCACCGCAAGTGATCGTTGTGAGGTTCCTGAAGGAGGGCTCGTTAACTTATTTCTCGCGGCATAGGCGCACCCGAGCATGGGGACCGAGCGGAAGCTTTATGAGCCTAGCAGATCGACGTCGTTGTATCACTCGTAAAGAGCGATATTTGGACACAACTATGTCTCGCTTACAGCGTGATCTAGCGCGACTGCGACTATGGGCCGGCTTAGCGTGGACCATAGTCCTTCAGCACTTTTCTTCTTTCTTTTTTCATATTTTTGCATTCATTTCCTGTTTTATCTTCTGACTTCTTGTATTTCAAAAATACTCTAAATATATATAAAAATCACATTATACCCAAAAATGAAATAAGATAATTGGTCACTAAAAAATGTTAAAGGTGTATAGATAAAAGTTTCAAATGCATAAGAAAATTGTAGAACATTTACGACATCAAAACATATATAGGGAAAAAGGTTAATCATATATTTGAAATAGGTTAAACGTGTATATAAAAAGTGTTCCTGACGTATGCAAAAAAAGCGCAATGTGTTTGGAAAAAGTAGACATAAAAAATATGTGTCTAAATAAGGTGAACCATATATTTGAAAAATGTTAAACTTGTAGTTAAATATGTTGCTTATGTATAAATTTATTACAATGTTATGAAAATAGTAGACATAAAAATATTAATTTACATAAATATTAATCATGTATTCAGGAAATGTTAAACGTGTACATATATATTGTCCTGATGCATACAGAAAAATGTGGAAAATATATGAAAAACAATTGACATCAAAATACATGTTAGAAAAACTATTTTATCATGTATTTGATAAAAGGTTTTTTTTAGAACAAAGACGCACGAAGCGTCCGGCTTTAAATTAATAAAGCCCACCGACAGGCAGCATCCAACAAAGTACAACACAGGATAAACACCCTAAAGAAAGAGCTGGCCGAAGCCAAAAGTATTAAACATGCAACCGGCCACAGCCTGAAAGAGGATGACATAAGAACTAGCACACAAGCAGCCAGACCGAAGTAACACCAAAATATCGCCATGAGCATCATCTTAGTTACGGGCTTCCACCTGAATCGTGCGGATCCGCTCCATGGCCTCCATCATCCGGTCTGCATCACGTCGTTTCCCCAACGGAGTTCATGTCTGGAGGAACACGTGGCATTTGAAAATAATGTCAGCAGGGTGGTTAGGGAACTTGTGTTCGATAGTCATCTTATTGCGGGTGGTCCAAAGAGACCAGCACAGCGCCCCTATGCAGCGCCACAACACACGCCCGAAGCTACCCCTCTGAGCAAGAAGGATCCTACGCAGGTCCAAAGCCGAATTGAGATTCCAGTTCTGCGCATAAGCCTCACGGACGGCACTCCAGGCAAAACGGGCTAGATGGCATTTGAAAAAGATGTGGTTGGCATCTTCATGCGCTCCACAGAGCGCGCAAGATCCATCCGAAGGGCCGTGTCTAATGGCAATGTTGTTCGAAGAAGGGAGACGGTCACGGAAAGTTGCCATAGAAACACTTTGATCTTCGTAGGGATGGACGCTTTCCATAGCCCCCTAGCTATGTCAAGAGTCGGTCCCTCGGTCAGCTTATTGTAAAGGGACTGGACCGTGAACTTCCCAGAGCTCGAGAGGGACCACAAGACCGAGTCGGCCTCAGGGAGGAGAGAAATACCCTGCAAAGTAGTTAGGAGCCCATCCCAACTAGCTCGCTTTAACATGTACATAAAAATGTTTCAGATGTAAAAGAAAAATGTTTCATGTATTTCAAAAAGTGTTAAACATGTATAAATTATGTTGTTATTCTGTGCCAAAAAAAAGGAGAAAACTAATGAGCACATGCAAATAAACAAAAAAAAACTATGAAAACCAAGGTAAAAAGAATGGAGACAATGAAAACTGATAAAGAAGCAAAGAAAACCAATGAAGAAACATAGAAAACGAAAGAAAAAATAAAAAATGTGAAAGAAAAGAAAAAACAGTGAAAGAAACAAAGAAGAACGAAGAAAAAAGAAAGAAAAAACCTGTAAAAAAATGACGAAGGAAAAAAGGTAAAGAAAACAAAGAGAACTCTGATGTGACAAAGAAAACCGAAACAAAAAATAGATAGTAAAAGAAAAAAAAACCTGGCCGAAACCAACAAACAACACACGATCGAGTGACGAGAAGCCAACGACTGAGAAAGATACACCAAATACTGGCCGGCCCAGGAACAACGGGGGAGGGAATCCTTCACGCGAGAGCTGCTTCCCTCTTGCTATAACCCAGATATAGTTCTCCCGGTGATATTTTGGCGGGAGCACCTAATTAACGAGCGGAGCCTCGCAACGATCTGCGCCACTTGGCGCGCTCTCAGCAATTCGCCACGTGTCACGCTCTGGGCGTTCCCTCCGAATTTTATTTTTTTTTCGGCACGCGTTTTCGTCTTTTTAAACGGTTTTTTTAGTTTTTTTTACGTTTTGGTTTTCCACCGGTCTTCCCTAGCTTTTCGACCAAAAAAAATTCAAAAAAAATAATTTTTTCGCGCAAAAAACACATTTTTTCGCGAGAGGCACGGTTTTGTTTTCGCGAGAGGCACGGTTTTGTTTTCGCGAGAGGCACGGTTGTGCTTTCGCGAGAGGCAGGGCCGTGCCTCTTGGAAACGAAAAAAATATGTTTTCTGTTTTTTTTCTTTCACAAGAAGCGCGGTTTTGCTTCTGCGAGAGGCACGGGCGTGCCTCTTTCGGAAAGGGGAAAAATACGTTTTTTCTTTTTTTTTCTTTCGCGAGAGGCACGGGCGTGCCTCTTTCGGAAAGGGAAAAAATGCGTTTTCTGTTTTTTTTTTCGCGAGAGGCACGGCCGTGC